TCATCGTCAAAATAAAACTCCGTCAAAAGAAATAATTTGTTGGCTGATTTGCTTGATCTCGGGGTCATTCATGCATGCGAGTAGGCGTTGTAAAAACCAGACAAACGTCTCCATTTATAGATTTCAATGAATATTTAATGCCAATGTATTTAGTGAGCTAGCCGTACATACCGAAAGTAAAATGATAATTTTTACGAGTGGACCACTGCAAGGTTTCAGACTTTTTTTTCAGGTAAATTTTGTATACAGTCGGCAAGGAGGGATGTTGCTGAAATGGAGAACGGGCAACGGGCAACAGGCAACGGGCAACGGGCAACGGGCAACGGACAACGGGAAACGTTGAACGGGAAACGGGAAACGGAATGCGGGAAACGGGAAACGGAATGCGGGAAACGGGAAACGGAATGCGGGAAACGGGAAACGGGAAACGGAATGCGGGAAACGGGGAACGGGGAACGGGGAACGGGGAACGGGGAACGGGGAAATGGGAACGGGAGTCTGGGAAACAGTATACAGCGGTAACCCGCCTAAGAAATCAACATGGCGGACAAAGGAAAAGAAAAGGGAACAATTTGTGGAAATGTGAGGAAGTGGTACGGAAGTGGTACTGGGAATCTGGGATAAACGAAGCATGAAATAGCGCCTGGGGAGAAAATCGAATCGATATTATCACATGCTACCCCAATCGGTCAGCACAAAATGCAGACTGCAGACCGGGCACAAAATGCAGACTAGGTACAAAATGCAGACTGCAGACTGGGTACAAAACACAGACAGAGAATAAAGACTGCTTTTCTTCTGATACGTGACAACGTGTCATCTAAAAAGATATCGAGTGTCACGTCGCTTTTCCGCAGTCATCTTCTACCAGCATTAGCATTACTGTCGAATATTCCTTGCTCGTTTCTTCATATATTTTGTCTTTAACAAAGCGGCCAGGCCGCAGGTTATTTATCCGCTACTCACCTGATTTGCCAGCTGACTTGCCGATCTCCGAAAGGCCGCCATGTTAGCCGTAGCATGTCGAATGCGAAGACATCGGACGACCCACGTTCAAAGATGGTCATGTGTTATGTCACTCGTCCTCGATATCACACTGCGTGTTGCTATCGCGCTCAAAGTGAAAAGATATGAGTAAACTATGGAGGCTTGAAATTCCATTTAAGAACGACTGTGGCCTGACCGATTGGGGACGTAGCTTGTGATAATACTGATTCGATTTTCAGCCGGTAGAAACTCACGTTAACAACCGTACCACTTCCTCACATTTCCCCAAATTGTTCCCTTTTCTTTTCCTTTGTCCGCCATTCTGAATTCTCAGGCGGGTTACCGCTGTACGCTCGTTCCCAAACTCCTGTTTCCCGTTCCCCGTTACCAGATTTAATAACATCCCTTGAAACTCGTAACGCGTGTGAGTTT